AGACAAAACATTAATTTTTTGACCGCGTCAAAAAGCAGCTTCTGTTAATTCAATTAAAATTTTGAAAAGATTAAAAAAAAAAAATTATTTTTTTACGACTATCACAGCTATCATAGTTTTTCCATTTAAAAAATAACACCATATAAGAGATATGAAGCTTTCAGTGTGCATAAGTTTAAAAAGAAAGGAAATAATAATGATAGCAGCAACAACAATTTTTATTAACAATCCACTCCCTATCATTTTTAGGTTTTGACATTTACAAATATGGTTCAACCCGAACTAAATGTCAAAATCAAAATATCATTTAATATAAAAGTAATGTTTTCATACAAGTAACGATTATTTGTGTGTATGTAGTGTGAATGTACATTCAAACAAATAAAGAATCGTAAATAACAATGGTTTCAACTCTAAGATATGCTTTTAAACTAAACCAACTAAGAGGAGCTTGTCGAGTTGAATTTTTTTATCTATTTACAAATCTATCGCCTTGTAGACATAGACACTCTGACCTGGACGATTTAACAGAACGAGAAACTAATCATTAAGAAAATTAAGAAGAGAATTGAAGACGACTCGCATGTACGCTGACGAATTAACAAAATTAAAGACAACGTGGATTGTTAAAGCAGAATTCTGGAGGTAGAAGAAAATTGGTTAAAAGAAGTCGGTCCGAAGTTTACACCGAAAGTTTACGAAATACCATAAACGACAACAAATACAATGGCATTATCAACGTATACTCGATATCATTTGGTAACTTCAATCAATTTTCATTTAATTTGGTAAAAAAAAAATTATATTCATTATAATAAAGTTGCTCTTCATTAAAATTGATTCAACAAAAAAGAAAAAAACAGCCGCTTGAAAACCACAATTCAATAATTTTAATTTGAGAAAAATTCCTTTTACAGGAAGGAGCTTGAGTGTATATGCATTACACCATTTCAATTTGCAATTTTTTTTTTAAAGAGTATTTATTGTAATTATTGTCAATCATATAATAAGTACCCTGTAATATTTGAATTCCCATTTAGAATGTTACGGTGTTACTTCAATTACATTACAAGTTTGCCGTGTCAAGTTGAGTAAATAAAATTATTAGGATCAATCACAGCACTGTTGGAAATTCTGACCAATAAATTATGGCAAACATAATACAAGAATTTCATAATATTAATGTGAATTTCACATACAATCTGCAATTTCGAAAACCTGGGTTATGATGGGATTTTGCATATAATTGAAACAAGAAAATGATTCCTAATAAATAATTGTTTTCTATATATGGTCTCTAGTACAGATTTTTAAAATTCCTTTAAAGGATTAGAGTTTTCGGAACAAATCTATGAATTTCCTCAACATTAAATTTATATAAAGTGAGCATATACTACACAGTTCATACTTTTACATAAAAATGTTATTGAAAGCGTGATTTTATGAGATTACAGCTGCATATTAAATGAATCAATTTCCACCATAAACAATTGGACAAAGTTCAGCGAAATTTTTATATTTTCTTTTGATATTCCATAAATGTTTACTAATAGATTGGTTTTGTTTTTTATTATAGCTAAGATCTTAGCTTGAATCATTCATAATTATCAGTTATTACTATTTAAAGTTGAGTTCAATATTGTTTTGCTTTGTTGCTTTTTCAGGATTATTTGAAGAGCTATACTACTGACTTTGTTTAAATATTGTTTTTGCATTCCATTTTTATTTTTGCGGTTTAAACTTTCAAATTTCATTTAAAATTACCATTTTTTTTTCTAGAAATCTTGGTGTTTAATTTTGTTCCATGTTAGATTTTTATTGCGAATGCCCAATAATTGAATATCATGCCTTAATTGTCTGTGATTGTTTTAGAAAAGAAAATGGTGCGAGCTACTTTTAGCTCTTTTCAAATACACGAATATTTATTAAATGTTTGGACTTAGACTTTGTAATAATTATTTAAATTCGATGAATGGGTCTGAAATTGGTTGGAAATACATATTAAAATTTGGAATAATTCTGCATGTGAATTATAACGATCATTTCAGTAGAAGCAGCCGGCAATTTCTTCATACCTCTCTAGCTAATGGTACAGCGTCCGCGTAGAAAGCGGTAGGGTTCAAGTCCAGTTGTAGGAGAAAAATTTTTTAATTTTTCTACCTTTAACTCGTTCCTTTGATTACGTAATCCATCACTTCTGCTGTTGTATGAAGAAATTTCAATTGAGTTGATAGTAAGAGGCACACAATACTTATTGATTAAAGAACTACACGTTGTATTAGTAATTCAGTATACAAAGAACTAGCTTGTTTATGAAGAGTTTTAAAATTTCCAATGCAAGACAAGGTCAGATTTTTAAGCAAAATTCATTTACAGACAGTACCACCGTACGTATAAATTGTATTCTGAATCAATTTCATAAATAATTAAGAGAAACACAAGGATTATAGTGGAAATGTCAAAACCCTCTTCAAAAATCTTTAGCTAAATTCAAATAAAAATGAAGTTTTACTAAAATATTTGTCATACCTGCATATTTTTTTAAAATTAAAAGAAAAAACACAATTATTTTCTGCCCATAAACTTAAAAACATCAAATAATTTCAAAAGAAAATATACCTTAATTTTCCAATTTTCCAGTTTTCAAAAAAGAAAATTTTGTGAAAATGTGAAACGCAAAAAATTTCACAAAGAATATACAAAAGAAATTCTTATTGAAACAAAAAGAAAAATTAAAAAATTTCTTCCCGGAAATTTCTGCCTCAAATATTCTAAAGGCCGACGGATAAGCAACGTGCATAATATTTTATCCTTTTATATAAGCATGTATGGATGTGAGATGTGGGTTAAAGAAAATGGACTTTCTGCTGGCATAAATTAATTCATAAAAACTACCTATTAAAAATAATTTTTTCATATATTCATTTTTGAAAAAAAAATTTTAAGTAAGCAAGGGTGATTTTTAAGAAAAGAATAAAGACTCTTTGTATATCTACAATAAATATGTTTCTATACACACATACACACTTGTAATGTGACAGAGAGAATATTAAGAATAACGACATTTCTTTTTCTTAAATAAATTTTTCCTTTTTTGTACAACTTTTTAAAGATTGTTTTTGTCAAAGGTAAGATAAAATAATCTGTTGGTATAAAATTGATATGAAAATATGATACTCGCCCTCATTATTTTTGGTATACAAGACCTGATTAAATTTTATTCAAAAATTCGTCCTCATTTTTTTATATATATATGTATGTAGCTATGTATATTATTTTGGATGAATGACAATGACGTGTTTAATTATTTTTAAAATTGTATAAAATTTTTTAAAAATATTAAAAATTTCGAAATTTTTCAATAATTTTTAAAATTTTGCTTACATTTTTGTTAATATTTTAATAGAAATGTCAGAATTTTAATCTTTTAAGTATATTTGATAAAACTGGTGACAAATTATGCTAGAATCTGCTAGGAGTAATTCGGAGTTATTTATTACAAAATGCACATTCAAATCCGCTATGTTATAATTGCATGAATAATATAAGGTAGGAACTATAACTGTAAAAAAAAATCCCATTACCAAGAGAGTGATGGCAACTTTTTGTTCACAATTTTAGTGCAAAATTTTATCTCTTTTCAAATATTTTAAATAAAGAATCGGTTTCCTTTTTCATTCTCCTGATAAAAATCAACGAATCTAAATAAAGAATATCCTATTATGATGAAATGACTTGCGAATTCTTTGTAAAAATTTAAGCAAGAAAAAAAAAATAATGTTATGGTCCGGTAGTTTTTGAAAATTGGATTAATTCTGTTATATTACTTGCATATTATAAAGATTAAAGGACATTTTACCAAAATAAAAATTTTCAAATCAAAGGAAATAGAAAAATTGTAAATTAAAATTGCGTATCGAACCAAAATTGTTTGTGTTCACATACATAATCTATACATGTATGCAGGCAATCAGTGATCAGTAATATAAGATCATCAAGTAAAAGGATATTATTTAAGGATCGCTTTTATTTAGAAAACATTTTTCGCTTTAATGTGATGAAGATTGAGTAGAAATGCATAATACGTGTAAAAACTGAAGGTAATTTTGTGTTAAGAAAATTTGTAGCTTTAATTCAATGCGTACTGTAGATAGACAGAGGATATGTAAGAAGAATTTGTAATGAAATCCTTAATTTGTTATACTGTTTGAACGTAATTAAATAAAAATTATATCGTATTGCACATCACACCTTTTGTATACTAAAAAAAAAAAATAATTTCTTTTACTGATTACAGCAAGCAAAACAAAGGTGTTTAAGAATAAGAGATTGATTTAACAATTGTGGAGGCTATTATGATCCTTGTTATTCAAAAAAAAAATTATCAGATTAGTAAAATTTATTTTCGGATTAAAAACACTTTAGTTTTAGTTTCAATTTACAAAATTATAGAATTTGAAAAACGTTAAGAATTTCGTCTTTTTTAAGTTATTGATGGTTCCCATAATATAGATCATGAGAATCATTACTAAATATGAACAGGAATCTTTCTTTGATTAAATTAAACTAAAAATAGTGTCTTGTTTTACTATGTTGAATAATTTAATAGAATTTTAGCTCCTATACTTCATGCTTAAATTTTATATTGCAACTCAAATTTTGTTCCATCTCTCGGAATATTCTCGATTTAATATCAAGTAGAATTATCACGGTAGAATTATTTAAAGCTAGATGAAAGAGAAGATAAACAATATTATGATAAAGCAACGAGGCGGTCGTATTAAATTTTTTATATATTTCAAGTCGAAATTCGCTCTTATTAGTTATGTAGCTGGACTGTTCTTAATACTCAGTCTGTTCTTGACTACTAGGTCTGTTCTCTTATAATTTTACCTTAATTAATTTATGTATTGACATTTTATTCCTTTTTTTTCGTAAAAAAACTCTATATATTCTTCAAAAGTTTATCTTACAAATAATTTCAATTTAATTTAAACTAAGGCAGTATTAATTTAATTTTAAGAAATTTCATTTCAGAAAATTTTTACTCTTCTCCAAATCCTGATTGATCAACATGAAATAATCTTTTTATTGTTTTTGATATAGCCTCATCTGGCAATCTAATAAGAATATATACAATTAGTTCAATTAATAGATTTAATTATTAAATTTATCCTTACATATTAAGCATCATAAAGAATTTATATATTGATGGCAATACAATTAATCTTTCATTTTTAAGAATTGCTTTAATAGCAGTTTTTGCTGCTCTTTCCGATGTCCATGGATGCATGTATAAATAACTTCTGAAAATTAAAAAAAAATAAAGTTGGGTCAAACCAATGGTTTGTATTGTAGCACTTTTCCCTTCAACAAGTGAAAATTCTGCTTTTAAATACGGTCTATTTATATCTATCACACTATTAAAATTATTTTCATTCATATACAAAATTATTTCTAGGATTGCATATATTTAGGATGAACGATTTATGCAGTTTTTGAAATAAGGCAAAAATTAATATAAAGAGGGGTTAACATAATGCTCGATTTTAAGGGTTAATTGTGTGAGTCAAGAAAAATAATTATACTTTTTTAATGTCATGGAATTTACCGTTAACTTTTTCTGTTTATAGAAATTTGAAAAAGATTGCGGTTTCGGAAATATAAGGTGTCAAAAATTCAAATTTTACAAATTTCAAGAGGCGATAACTTAAGAGGGGGTGGAGATAGAAAAAAATTTTCTTCTAACGAAATAAACTATTTGTTAATGTCTAAGAGCCCCTAAAATTTCAAGCTTCTACAGGCTGGGGTCTAGAAGAAAAACGACATCAAAAATTTGAAAAAAAAGGACTTTAGATAACGGTAAATTTGAACGGCCATTTTGTTTTTCTAAAGTTTAAATGTAGTATACCGCGCTAGGGAAAGCAAGCCGCTGCCTTTCTGCGTTTGGAAAATTTCAATATACAAATAGTTAAAAAAGGCCATTTTTAGGGTTTTGCGGGGGTATATCTTCTAGAGGGGGGGAGATAGATTAAATTTTTGTTCTACGGAAGTAAGTTTCTAGTAAAGATCTATGTACATATAAAATTTCAGCTTTCTATCTTCAAGGGTGTAGAATTTTTGTAAACAAAAAAGTGTCCACGGACGGACAGACGGACAGAGTGAAACTAATAAGCACTTTTTTCAAAAAATTTTTTGGAAAAGTGCTAAAAAATTAAAATATTATTCAAGTATTGGTAAATTTAACCATGAGTTAGACTAAGTCAAACATAATTCCAATGGCATTCTTACTTTGTTCCTTTAATTGTTCTGATAACATAATCACTTGACAGCACTAGTGTCGGACATATTAAACTTGTTTTAATAATATCACTATGTCCTTTCATTAGTAATTCAATATACAATGAATCCATAAATCCTTTTAAACCTTGTTTTGATGAAACATAATCTAATATATAAGCGCAGGATGATAACCCTAAAAATAAAAAAAAATTATTAAAAAATAAAGATTTTTTTATAATTTTATCAATTTAATTTACCTCCTAATGAACAAGTAGCAATAATATGTCCACGTTTCCGTTCTATCATTCCAGGAAGAAATATTTTTGTTGCCTATAAGACGTTAAATTTGAGTAATTGTGGAACAATCAAAATTAGCTTATTTATTTACCCAAATACTAGCTTTTAAATTAACATCAATTAATTTTGAAATTTCAATTGGTGTCCTCTTAGGATTTAAGGTTTGTACAGTTTGAATTATACCAGCATTATTTATTAAAATATCAACATGTCCAATATCTCGTTCAATATCAGTTTTAAGTTTTTCAACATTTTCATAAATTGAAATGTCAGCCTTCAATTTAAATTAATTGGAATGTAAGTTTGTTTGTTTAACAAGAAGCTTAATTTCTTACCTTATAAAATTTAACTTTAATTTCATATGAATTTCTAATGAATCCTTCTAATTCTTTTCCATTTTTTTCATCAATATCAACTAAAGCCAAATGACATTTTTGTTTTGCAAATTCTTCACTTAGAGCACGACCAAATCCATTGGATGATCCAGTGATCTGGAAAAAATTAAAAGTATTAAAATAAAATCTTTGATTACAACTTGGACACAACAGCTGTCTAAGTCAAACAAGTTTGTTTTTAATTTTTTTATAAATTTGAATTCTTGTAAGGTCAATCCTCAGTTTATCAAACCCAAAATTTGAAAGATTTTATAAAATTAACAACAATTCATGATCCCTGCACTATTCCTGCGCGACAGTAAACTCTTTTAAATCAAACAACATTCCTTAAAGCATAACTTCGTCAATATCAATTCATTTTTGATCTTTAATCCAAAAACACTTTCGTTCACTCGATAGTAATAATGTCGTGGTTCAGATAAATCAAATTCATTCTCAAATATTTCTGAAACTTCACCCTCATTTTGAGTACTTTAGAGCTGCCGTAGTTCCAGCAAAATGAAAACTCAAAATAATTGAATATTATGAATGCTTCGATTCGCGTATAATTTTATTTTTGAAACATCTAGCTTAAGGTACATTCAGTATATTATATGTACTATGTAAAATGCAAATGAATGAATAACAATTATAATATGATTATAAGAAACTTGATAAAATGTAGACCAATAATAAAAATTAAACAAGAAAAAGCCTTTCAGTCGGTATAAACCAACTAAATAATACCTTGCACTTTGAAAATCTGAGTTTAAAAATTTGTTTTTAAATTTTTTAGAAATAACTTTGTGTGCTAAATAGCAATTACTTGAACCTGTCAAACCACTTAATAGAAACTTTACAGAGAGTATATGTCTGACATTTCATGTGGACACGGCCGAGTTTCATGAATCCTAGCCTTAATATTTTTCCAAATATTTTTAAATAACTTTCGGAGTTGTATAAGTGCTACCCAAACCAGTGCAGCCGTTCCATTAAAATTTTAAATATATATGTAGAATATAATTGGACACACCTTTACAAAATTTGATATTAATACCTCTATTAGTTTTTGAAATATTTAAAAAAGACTCTTTGAGTTTATCTTAGGGTAGCTACCCGAACCCGTTGTCCGAATTGGTCCAATTACAATAGCAGCCGTCATTGGCACAGAAGAAAAAGCTTGTGAAATTTTGTGGTCGATTGCATTATTCGTTTTTGAGTTATCGTGCGGTCGGACAGACGGACATGTCTACTTAGAATTTTACGCTGCGCCAGAATATATATATATATATGTTCATACTGGGGACGACTCCTTCAAGTGGTTACAAACTCCATACCAAAGTGAATAATATCCCCCTTCATGAAGTGCAGGGTATATTCATCAATTGACCACCTTGAATGCTTCATATTGATTGAAATCAAAATAAAACACAACAAAGTTATAATTTATTGATCGTAAACCTTGACATACTGACCAATTTTCAATACAGTTTCAATTTTTCTTTTAATTATTTTAATAAAACCTGTTCAAGTGAACAACATTTTGTTTTTACACTAAGTGCATTTTTGTTTACATAAATTACTGCCATAAAATGACTGACTAATAAAGCTTTCTGTTAAGAAAAACAATTTTACGCGCGAAATTTTTCAAAAGCTTTTTTTTTTAATTCAAATTTAAAAATTGTTGTTTTGCAGTCGTCCATTAAAAATTACCGGAAATCTTTCAATAAATATTTTGAAATGTAGCAATGTTATGGCAATTATTATGTTATTATTAGTTAAAGACACCGTTATAATTTCAATTCAAAAATATTTGCTACTGTCACAAGTTCTCATGGTTTCATGGTATTAGTTTCAAGGTTGAATGTTATTATGCTGTTATCTTGCATATGAAATTTATGATAGAATTGATAAATTTGAGTCGGAATACCGAAACTGCTAATAACGGTCTTGAAGTAACTGAAGTGCTGCAATAAAATGAGAGAAATGATGTATTCTCACCAGGTTCTTAGCCAGAATATTACAGGTTCGATTGTATTTGATATTTGAATATTAACAATCAAATGAGCTTTGATTTGAAAAAGTTAAGTCCGGATTCAAATTGTTGAACGATAACTAGTAAAGACAGATCGATTGATGTAAAGAGACTGGGGAGGCTGGTATGCAATTTTCTAAAAGTCGTGATCCTTTTGTCATTTACCTCACATCAGAAGAAGTACTACACCCAGAGACGGTACATGTTTAGCAACTGTCCGCAATATCGAGTTCTAAATCTATGATAATTGTTTCGTATAACAAGTTTTCTTCGTATAGTAAATTAACTAACATCTGTAAACTATCCTCTCTACATTGATCATAACTGTTTAATACAACTCCCACTAGAAGTAATTATTAGTGAAAAATTGGAATTACTTGCCATTACAACTTGTCCACGTACATCCTTTTCAGGTATCGTTATCCACATACCGTAAAATAATTGTTTTAATAAAAATAATATTATTTCAATAAATAATTTTATATTTAAAATAAATAAACGAAAATAAACGATCCATTCACTTTCCGTTTCAAATTCAATATTATTCCGATTTTTATTATCCATTTTTGTATAGTCCAACTCGAAGTGTGTATTCCTACTGAATTTATTATTTATTAAGAATTATTCTTATATTAATTTTAAAAAAAAGCGAGAAAAAAAGTAGAGTTGACCTTGTCAACTCTGTGTTACCCGTACGAATTTGTTATCCTATGTGCGAATAACTAATGTGCCATAACTAACTATGGGGCAGACTATGACTAAAAGTTGCCGTATTACCATACGGCATTTTGCATTAATTTATGCAAAATTTCAGTACTATGTGTTTTTCAAAATACTGGTTGTGCCAAACTACTATTGAAGTTGTATGGCAGCTACCAGAAAGAGCCAAGAAATTTTAGCGAATTTTATCAAGCACATCGGCCCTAATATATTCACTTGTGTGAAATCTCAATATCACAGCTTTTATAGTTTCTGAGATACAGCCAAATAACTTTTGAAGTTGTATGGCAGGTACCAGAAGGAGCCAAGTAATTTCAACGACTTTTATGAGACACATTGGCCCTACTAATATATTCGTTTGTGTGAAATTTCAATACCATAGCTTTAATAGTTTCTGAAATATAGTCAAATAAATTTTGAAGTTGTATGGCAGCTACCCGAACCGGTACCCCGATCACGTCCAATTTAAATAGGGTTCTGGCACTTACTCCAATAAATCATTTGTGAAAATTTGGTGAACTTAGCTCAATTAGTTTTTGAGCTATCGTTCGGACGGACGGACAAAGCTAAATCAACTCAAAATTTGACGCTGATCAAAAACATACACTTGAGTCTATATCTAACACCGTTATTTCTTAGCGTTACAAACGGTAAGGCAAATTTAGTATACCCTTCGAAAATACGTTCGTACGGGTATAAATAATGGGTTTTATAGTTTAAGCTTTTTTTTGCAAGCCTACTTGCTATAAAACAAGTAAACAAAATATTTTCCATTTACACGTACACCGCACCGGATTAAAGTAATAAACAAGTTTTACTTTAAGTTTTTTTCATTCAATAACAAGAGTATATTTGAATTTTCTCTATTTAATAATATAGTATTTAATTAAATCAATGTTAACTAAATCAACTAAAATATAATAATTATATTAGAGTGGAAGCCATGCAATGCGAAGTCACACCGATTGTTTAAAAAAAGCGTTTCGGTACGCGGATTGTGGGAATTTATCCTAACATCTTTGGATATACACGCTATTGAAAATTGTGTCTAACATAACCGGTACAGTTATTGAGAGTATAATATAGCTATAAAATAGAATATACTATTGACAGTTCTTTATAAGAATTCTTATGAGAGTTTTTTCTTGGATGGTACTGTGTCAATAGACTCAACCTATTGAGGTCAAGATATGTAGGTAACTACGTTCTAGGTGGCAGGGAACCCCACCTAAAAGGGAACCGAGAAGCTGATATGATTTTCAAATCAAAGACAAATTTCGGCTTGGTAGGACTAGAACCCTTCCGACGAATTAATCCAAACAGAACTCGTGAAGAACCAAGAAATGAAGTGAAAAAGAAATTATTAGAATTATGGAGAATGTGTCGAGGGATCCGGCGAGCAAAGACGATTTTCGGAATTACAATCGGAATCGCATTAAAAATATCATAAGAAGGTCAAGAAATTATGTTGGAATATTCAAAGGTTTTAAGACATGGTCTTGAGGACCAAAAAACAGGCTCTGCAAATTTCACGTACCTCTCGGAGGAATATGTACTATTTACTATTAAAGAAGGGTTTGTCCCGATGTACCCTTCCTGGTGAACATATGGTTTCGGGATACTGCACTGAAAAGTAGAAAAGTGGATCTCTAGAGCATGCTGTAGGCAAGACGCTAAGCACTAATATGAAAAACGACAGTGGTCCACACGTTTAATTCCTAGTTGTTACACTCTTAAACAAGATTACAAGTTATTAATGTGGCCCACACTTTTAATTCGCAGTTGTTATACTCTTAAACAAGTTTGCAAGTTCAATAGGATTTTGAATTACAATAACAGTATCAAAAGGACAACTATACATGAAAATTAACAGAATATCAAATATTTTCTAAATAAAAAAAAACAATAAATTGCGAATCAATTGAGGATGCGACCCGCTAAAAATTATATACGATTTAAAAAAAAAAGGATATTTAATTTCAATTTTTTTTCTATGCGACAAAATTCAATTTCATTGATTGCTTATAGTTTTTTTTCAATCTATTGTTAAAGTATTTTAAGCCGGAAAAAAGTATAAAGAAATTTCCTGACTGCCCTGCAAACATTACAATGCAAGAATTTTTTTTTTTGTTGCTTATTGCAATTTTTTACTCTTAGATTTTTCCATATTTAATAAGAAGTCCTTTAAGGTACCTTTGAGATATTTTTGATGGCTATTTTCGATATTATACAGAAGTAGAAGCTATAAAATTATGATAAATAACTTCAGATAATTTTAAATCAGGGCATATAAGCGGATTTTTGTAAAAAACATGAATGATCCTACACAATCATAGAAAAGAAAGGATTGCCTTCACATTTCAAAAAAAAGAGCTCATCAAAGAAATATCAGGTCACAAAAACCGAAATTTCCCTAGAGAGTAACGAGTTTTCCAGGGAAATCAGATTCCAAAAAGTAAATTTCGACTCAGAACTAAATTTAAATTTTTATTATGTTGACTATAGGATGTTTGAAGTAAGTTTTCAAAATTTTCTGCAACTTTGCAAAAGTACAAAATATATTTTGTGGTAAAATATGTGCTGACTAGATCGGATTTTTTTTTATTATCGCAAAATTCTTAAAATTGCACTGCGATTCTAGTGGTAACAAAATATGTTTGATTAACAAATACATTTTCAGAGCAATTCGGTAGGTGATATGAAGTGTGCCTTCTATTGGGTCTTTTAGAGCAAATCGGCAATTGATGTTCCTTCCATTGTGTCGTTTACAGCAATTCGGTAGGTGATGTGCAATGTGCCTTCCATTGCGTCGTTTAGAGTAATTCAGTAGTTGCTTTGTGCCATGTGCCTTCACTTTATATTTTTTATATTTTTTTTGTACATTCGGAAGCCCTAATTGTACAAAATGCAAATACAAAGAATATATTGACTAATTTTTGTCCATTTTGTTTTTCAATACAATATTATTTTCTGATTTAGAAAATATTTTAAGTAAAGAATCGGCTTCCTTTTTCATTCTCCAGATAAAAATCAACGAATCCAAATAAAGAATATCCTATTATGATGAAATGACTTGCGAATTCTTTGTAAAAACTTAAGCAAGAAAAAAATAATGTTATGGTCCGGTAGTTTTTCAAAATTGGATTAATTTTGTTTTACTACTTGCATATTATAAAGATTAAAGGACATTTTACCAAAATAAAAATTTTCAAATCAAAGGAAATAGAAAACTTGTAAATTAAAATTGCGTATCGAACCAAAATTTTTTGTGCTCACATACATAATCTATACATGTATGTAGGCAATCAGTGATCAGTAATATAAGATCATCAAGTAAAAGGATATTATTTAAGGATCGCTTTTATTTAGAAAACATTTTTCACTTTAATGTGATGAAGATTGAGTAGAAATGCATAATACGTGTAAAAACTGAAGGTAATTTTGTGTTAAGAAACTTTGTAGCTTTCATTTAATGCGTACTGTAGACAGACAGAGGATATGTAAGATGAATTTTTAACGAAATCCTTAAAGTGTTATACTGTTTGAATATAATAAAACAAAAATTATATCGTATTGCACATCACACCTTTCGTATACTAACAAAGATCTCTTTTTATACCCTGCACTTCGTGAAGGGTATATTAACTTTGGTATGGAGTTTGTAACTACTTGAAGGAGCCATCTGCGGTATGGACATATATATATATTCTTGCTCAGCGTAAAATTCTGCGTTGATTTAGACATGTCCGTCCGTCCGTCCGTCCGTCCGATCGCACGATAACTCAAAAACGAATAATGCAATCGACATCAAACTTTCACAAGTTGCTTCTTTTGTGCCAAGGACGAACCCTATTGTTATTGGACCAATTCGGACAACGGGTTCGGGTAGCTGCCATACAACTCAAAGAGTTTATTTTAATTATTTCAAAAACTAATAAAGGTACAAATATAAAATTTTGTATACATGTGTCCAATTATATTCTACATATGTTATAAAAATTATAATGGGGTAGCTGCACCGGTTCGGGTGGCTGCCATACAACTCCAAAAGCAAATTTTTTATATTCGGCAAAATAATAAAGTCAGATTCATGAAACTTGGCAGTCGTGTGTCCAATTATAGGTCAAAGATATTTCTGAAGTTTTGGTGGAATTGCTTGACAGGTTCGAGTGGCTCCCATACAAGTCTAAAAGCTTATTTTAAATATTTGGAAAAATAATAAAGTCAGATTCATGAAACTTAGCAGTTGTGTGTCCAATTATAGGTCAAAGATATTTCTGAAGTTTTGGTGGAATTGCTCGACAGGTTCGAGTGGCTCCCATATAAGTCCAAAAGCTTATTTTAAATATTTGGAAAAATAAAAAAGTTAGATTCATGAAACTTGGCAGTTGTGTGTCCAATTATAGATCAGATATACCTGCGAAGTTTTAGTGGAGTTGCTTGACAGGTTCGGGTGGCTCCCATACAAGTCCAAAAGCTTATTTTAAATATTTGGAAAAGTAATAAAGTTAGATTCATGAAACTTGGCAGTTGTGTGTCCAATTATAGATCAGATATATTAGCGAACTTTTAGAGGAATTGCTTCGCAGGTTCGGGTACCTGCCATACAACTCCAAAAGCTAATTTTAAATATTTGGAAAAATAATAAAGACAGATTCATGAAACTTGGCAGTTGTGTGTCCAATTATAGGTCAAAGATATTTCTGAAGTTTTGGTGGAATTGCTTGACAGGTTCGAGTGGCTCCCATACAAGTCCAAAAGCTTATCTTAAATATTTGGAAAAGTAATAAAGTTAGATTCATGAAACTTGGCAGTTGTGTGTCCAATTATAGATCAGATATATTAGCGAAGTTTTAGTGGAATTTCTTGGCAGGTTCGGGTACCTGCCATACAACTCCAAAAGCTAATTTTAAATATTTGGAAAAATATTAAAGTCAGATTCATGAAACTTCTCAGTCGGATGTCCAATTATAGGTCAGACATATCCGTGAAGTTTCTATAGAATGACTTCACAGGTTTGAGTAATTGCTATACAACAATGAAAGGTGCAGGGTATAATTCAATCGGTTCATACCGACTGAAACGTTTTTACTTGTTTTTTACTACAATAAGCAAAATAAAGGTGTTGATGGAAAAAGATTGATTTAAAAATATTTTTTTTTAATTTTTCAGATATTCGCAGGTTATTTCGATCTTTGATCAAGTTATCAATGTTCAAATGAAGCATGTTTTAATTTTCAATGCAATGTCAAAACAAAAATCAACGGATTAGGAAAAATTTTTTTTTGGAATTAAAAACATTTTCGTTCCAGTTTTAATTTCCAAAATTTTAAAATTAAAATTTAAAAGTCATTAAAAATGTTCAACTTCGTAGGTGGTTCATGATTTTCATTATAGAACTTGTATCAAAATATCAACAGACTTGAAAATTGGATTTTGGCTAAGCTGTAGCAAAAATATTTTTGGAGATATTTGAAAAAATCCATTTGAAAACTGTAAACGCGGTTTCTGACTAAACTAGAATTGATAGAGCGACTCTTAGTGTTGTTTTGTGATCACTAGGAACTCACAGATTCCGCTAATATATGATAATAAGCTCTAGCAAAAAATTTTTGGAGATATTTGAAAAAATCCATTTCAAAATTTTAAATGCGTTTTCTGGCTAAACTAGAAGAGATAGAGCGATTCTAAGTATTTTTTGTGATAACTTGGGACTCACTGATTTCGTCAATATATGATAATAAGCTGTAGCAAAGATATTTTAGGAGATGTTTGCCTTAAGCACGTTTTCTGACTAAACCAGAGGAGATAGAGCGATTCTAAGTGTTTTTTCTGATTACTAGGAACTCATAAATTCCACCAATATTTGATATCAACGCTTTAAAGTTTAATAGTTTAACTACTTACCGTTTAAACTCCATATTTCTTCTATTAAATTCAATCGTTGATGCAATCATTGCGTTATTATAAGTTCCTGGTTCTGCTATTTGACAAATTTCCAAAAGTTTCGCAAAAAAAATTTTAAATATTTTAATTCATTTAATCCCCTAGTATATTGCAATTTTTATCTTACTTAATCTATAGTTTTTGTTTTTTATAAAAAAAAATTTATATATTTTTTTAAATTTATCTAAAATAATTAATTAACCTAAGTAATTTCAATTTAATTTAAATTAATTTTAACTAAGCAAGTAATCTTGATTTAGAGAAATTTCATTTTAAAAAAAAATTGCTTTACTCTTCAAATCCAGATGGATCAACGTTCAGTAATCTTTTAAGCGTTTTTGTTTTAGCATCATCCGGTATTCTATTAAAAATTAAGAAAATATAAATTTATTTCAAATAATATTTTTAATTAGGATTTTTATTCTTACAAATTAAATATCATCGATAATTTATATACTGATGGCAACACAATTAATCTTTCATTCTTGAGAACTGCTTTAATAGCAGTTTTTGCTGCTCTTTCTGGGCTCCATGGGTATATGTTATGATAAACTCTTGAAATTTTAAAATAAAAAATATTATTTGAATACGGTTTTAAATTTCATTTTAATCTTAGATGCAAATTTGATTTATTTTAAATTGTAGAACTAAAATAGGAGGAAATACAATAAGATTATTTAATACTAGCTATCTCGTTCCGCGTTACTGTGACCTGTGAGAAGGTACAGCAAGTGCTTCTTTTTATTTGCTCTAGTGCTTTTCTATTTACAATATTTTTTGTTTTTCCGTGTCTGGTGCGTACATACGAATATATCAGAAAGTGTTCTGTGAGTTGGAGAGAACAACAGATTTTTCAAATCTAACCCACACACTTAAAACGAGTGTCGAACTAAATCAGAGCATAAAACAATATTTAACATGTTTTCTTTTGAATTATTTTCCAAAACTGATTAAGGTGTCTGATATTTAAAAATTCCAGGAACAAAATTGCAGATCTTGCGGAAAACTTCTCAATATGCAAGTGCAAACGGCATAAGTAATCGGCTTGGATTAATGAACGTTTTCACATGTGACAGGCATGAAAATAATAATGAAATAATTAAAAAATTTGCATGACCCACTTGCACATCCAATATGCATGCCCAAAATGCATGACCAACAAATATGACTAACTTGTCTAACCCCCACGGCGTTTTGTAAGCAACTTCTCAATACCATAACAAAATATAAAAGAAATAGAGAGTGCCTCTCTACACCTCTCAACTGCATATAAATTTAAATTTTCTGAAATTTGTTTATAATTTCTGTTGTATAAAGCAATCCGATTAAAAGTTGCTTAAAGATCTGTGACATGAACTAGATTTGATTGAATGTATAACCGATTATATTCTTACTTTGTTCCTTTAATAGTTTTAATAACAGAATCACTTGTCAGTACCAGCGTGGGACATATCATACTTGTTTTAATAATATCACTATATCCTTTCACTAGCAATTCAAAATACAATGAATCCATGAATCCCTTTAAGCCTTGCTTTGAAGCAGAATAATCTAATAAAAAAGCGGAAGACAGTAAACCTACAAATAAATAAAATTATTACAAAAATAAAGATTTTCTATAACTTCATCATTATTACTTACTTGTTAATGAGCAAGTAGCAATAATATGTCCTCGTTTCCGTTCTATCATTCCAGGAAGAAATATTTTTACTGCCTATAAGACGTTTTAAATCATTTTAAATTCGAGTATTTGTTGAGCAATCAAAGTTTTCTAATTTATTTACCCAAATACTAGCTTTTAAATTAACATCAATTAATTTTGAAATTTCATTTGGTGTCCTTTTAGGATTTAATGTTTGTACACTTTGCATTATTCCAGCATTATTTATTAAAATATCTATATGTCCAATATCTCTCTCAATATCAGATTTAAGTTTCTCAACATTTTCATAAATTGAAATGTCAGCCTTCAATTTAAATTAATTGGAATGTAAGTTTGTTTGTTTAACAAGAAGCTTAATTTCTTACCTTATAAAATTTAACTTTTATCTTATATGAATTTCTAATGAATTCTTCTAATTCTTTTCCATTTTTTTCATCCATATCCACTAAAGCCAAATGACATTGTCTTTTTGCAAATTCTATACTTAAAGCTCGACCTAATCCATTAGATGAACCAGTTATCTACAAAATAATAAAAAATTTTAAAATCAATATAATAAAATAATAATTTGGAATCAATCCGCCAATCAAATACGATTGCTTTAATTTTATTATCCACAACTTTCGATATCTTACAATGCTAGAGTCATTGTGCGAAAGCGAGAGCGAAAATATTGAATGTATTATGTGCAAAAAAACCATACACTCGGTATGATACCACAAGAACTCAACATAATTTATCGAAAGAAGTAAATATGAAAATTCGCTTGTTATTCAACACCTTATAATGTGTTGATTATAGCATTATTTTTCTCAATATAGTACATTAATTATAATAATTAAGTTACTCTTAATAAGGTTACCAAAGAATAAGGACACAAAAAAAATAATCGTTTCTTATATTGTTGCTGCTAGCCAAGGGTATCTTCATGGTTACTATGGGAGGATGTGGAGAAATGAAGAACACTCTGACAGATCTTGAAAACTGTAGGTCGTTGACATATAACAAAATTTTAACCTCATCAACGTTTTTGCAGTAAAAAAAAAAAATTATTGGTAATTGATCACTCCAAGATATTTATGAGAAAGGTTTCAGAGTTTAATAATTAACCTTATCTTCGTCTTTAGGGGTAAAAATTAACACCAGTTTCATTTAAATCCAAATGAAACCATCTCGGTCCGATTCTCGTCAGATTCTGGACCGACTAATGACACTTATTAAAAGTTTTTTTTAACTTAAAGCCAATTAATTTAATTCTAATATGGAAAAGCTAAATGTATAATAATTTAAATTATCTAAATTCAAAATTTAATTCACAATCTGAGTCAACACTTTCTTTTCATTGATAACGACAATTTCACATAGATTATATCCTGATCATATCACATTCTTTCTTTTAATAGCTTCTATTCTATAGAATAAAAATATTGAAAACACTTGCCATTGCAACTTGGCCCCGTATATCCTTTTCGGGTATAGTTATCCACATACCGTAAAATAATTGTTTTATTAAATATAAGAATATTTCAATAGATAATTTTATATTATAAATAAATAAACGAAAATAAACGATCCATTCACTTCCCGTTTCAAATTCAATATTATTCCGATTTTTATTATCCATTTTTGTATAGTCCAATTCAAAGTGCGTATCCTAACTGATCCCCTTATTAATTAAGATATATTCTTATATTAAATTTTTAAACATTGAATAGAAGAGCTTTTTACCGACCGCATTGCATACAATAAGGGAGGCTATGTGATGGCAACAAATTTTGCATATCGAGTTTTCGGTGGGAACGCACTTCTCCATAGTAGGACAGTGTAAATAAACTATTTTTAGACAGGTGTCTGTCTGTCTGTCTGACTGTTTATGTACGCGTGTATCTCCAGCTCGGCTGAACCGATTTTAATGCAATTTTATATGTGAGTTTGTTTTGACTATGTCACGGATTGACGAAACTTTTGGGATATATCAGACCTCGGGTACCGGAAGTTTTTGTCGCCCAATTTTACATTTTTGTGTATATAAAGAGCGATAATCAACCAATTTCCTTGAAATTTAATATTCCAATTTTGAATGTTAAAACAAAGAATTTGTAAATTTTTTTGGAATTATCAGGGCCCGGAAAACAAATTGGGGGCTAATTTTGCTATTTTTAACATATCTACGGAACGGATTTATGGAATTTCTTGAAATTAGATATTTGAGCTCTAGTTATTACCGAAACTAACTGGCGAGCATTTCAGGGAATTCGGGTAACACAAAGCGAAACTCTACTAAGTGCAAAGTTTACATTTTTCTAGGTATTTTAACTAAAACTTTACTAACGTTCTAAAAATTTTGAAAGAAGTGTTGAAAAGGCATTTTTATAATTTCTGTAACACTTGCATTTAACTAGGCAATACACATTGCGGTCGGTTATGTGCTGATCACATCAGATTTTTTTATATTTTATAAAAAATTATAGAATAATAAAATTAAAATAATTTTCCATTTACAGCTTAACAACACTCAATAAAATTAATAAAAGATTATGTAAAATAGATTTGTATTTACATAAACAAGCTTTATTAAAACAAAGATTGTTGTAATTAGTAATTAAAACTTATAATATTATTTCATTTTGCAATTTAATTAAAACTGTTACTTTACGTTATTAATAGAATAATATAATGCATAACATTAACATGTTGCAAATATTCTATAGATTGTATAATTATTATTCTATTAAGAATAGAAAAAAAAATTATAATCATTCCAATAATTATTTGCAATAATTATTTAATCAACAGGTTTTAAAAACGTGTCATACGCGTTTTACATATGTTAGTCAATGGTGTTGCCAAAGTAGAAAAATAAAATAGGCTAAAAGCCGATCAAACCTTAATACCTTAACACATTGCCAACCGCACGAATTTCAACTGAATTAAGCTATCCACCGCGCATTTTTGACATGCGACAACTAATAAAGTTCTCAAATATAAACAAAAATTACGCATTTGTAAACCGATCGGGAGATTTCCCCGACCGGTCGTATACTAACATATTTTATAACGGGGGAAATCTCCCCGATCGGTTGTGTACTGACATTTTTCAAAACGGGGAGACTTCCACGCTCGGTCGGCAATGTGTTAAGTCATCATTAATTTTGAAAATAAATAGCCGACTGGTTTATAGAACTCCCAAAATTCTGTTAAGTACAATGACCGCTCTTAAAAATTGACGCTTTTAAGATCTTGAATGAAATGTGTACAGTAAGCGAGAGGAGAGATGGGAAAAAATTTTATTCTTAATAAATAATTTTCTCAGAAATGCCTTTTATGAAATTTCTGTCCTCTATATCGAACATGCGTAAACAGACGCTAAGGTGAACCGATGAACAGGCAGAGCGATGGGCGGTAAAAAATGAAATTTAAAATATTTTTTTTTTTAGGAAAACTATCCAACGCAATACAGAATTAAGTGTGATCATTTCAAAATCTTAAATACCTGAGAGTAGTCGTATTTATGTCAAGAATTTTCATATTTATGAAAATTAATCAAATGCTAAAATGTGATAATAAAATAAAGAGAAGGAGCAAGTTTAAACTTTTACAATATTACATAATAAAACCTATAATATATTATGGAACATTAGATGACATGCGTCTAAGTATTACTGGTACTATAATATATTAAACACTATGGATATATGTAGACTTTCGAATAATAATTGAAATTTTGAGTGGGTGCGATAAACGTTTCGCCTCCCTGTCATTAAAATTTTCAAATAAACGGAATATAATCTTTGGAGAGAACGACAAAACAAAAACAAAACAAAATTAAATGAATAAAAAGGAAGAAAAATCATTGAAATTATAGATTTCAGTTTCATCTTTAATATTATACAAACATGGGTAATAATTGCTTCATATACTTTGTTATTAAAAATGCGAATAAATGCATCTTATCGTAATACCAAACCTTTAGTACCCACATAAGTAAATATAGTGATACACATATATTTTGCGTATATATAAAGTAGTGTAGTTGTATAAAAATTTTAAAATAATAAATTTACAAAAAATACTAAAACACTCATGATTGCATATTATTAAAATGTAGGGTGACCATAGAGATTGGGACTAAAAAAAACCTATATAGTCTACTCCGAACAACTAGATGTGAAAATCTCTTTTCGCCTTCCAAATCACTGCGGCGTCTTTCACGCGGAGGTGGTCACAATAAGTGAGGTTTTGAAATGGCTGGCGGGTAATGTGATATTACGCAGGTGTGCCAGTATTTTCACGGACAGTCAGGCAACAATAAGGGTGTTAGAAGCGAAGATATTTTCTTCTAGAACAGCTTGGGATTTTAAGTCATTTTTATGCGAAAGGGTGCAATCATTCAAAATTAACCTGATTTAAGTTTCAGGTCATAGCGGAATACATAAAAACTGCAGGGCGGATGGGTTCGCAAGGCTTAGCACAATCCTTGGTTGAAAAGTATGACCTAGAGATGCTTCTGAGCATGTATAAGCTGTCGTTGTTTTCGAGTTCAATGCGGCAACAGAGCAAACTAACAGCAAATGGGAAAACGCAATGAAATACGGAAAAATCAGAAGAATCAGCATTAGCATTGTGCACGAATCAGCATCTCTAATTTCAACAGAACTGGTCACTTTGTTTATTACAATTTTATTAATATTTTAAATTTATTCAATTATTTTTCATCACTGATTTGTGTTTCTTTCTTACTGTTATTACTTTTGTTTTTTTCCTTTTTTTTTAATTCTTGTGCACTTTAGATCATTCTTTTTCGTTTCATCGTTTTCCTTTCATATACTTCTTTTTAATATTTCAACTTTTAAACCCTTCTATGTGTATTCTTGTAGTTATGTTATCATCTTCTTTGTTATTCCTTGATCGCGTTCACAGCGATTGGAATACATTGTGGTCGTCATTCTCGATTTCAATGACCATTGTATGTAAGAAAACATATACGATATATAATTATATATAAATATGTATGCATTATGATTGTAATGTTCAAAAGACAATAAAAAGAGCAAGAAAAAAAGGAAAATAAATCCAATGTTAAACACAGGTTGAGATTGTTCTTACCTGTTTTTCTGTTTCTTGTGTCTTCTTAACTTTTGTTCTTCAATTCTTGTGCCAGCCAGCCAGTTTGTTCAATTTTATCATTCTTATTGTTTCTTTATTTTCAATTTTGATTTTATTTAAGTCTATATTGTAACGCTCTTAATAATAAGTGATGTTCTTATAATCAAAAGTTTATGTCAAAAAGTATAAAAAGTGATGGAAGAAGAGTAAAAGATGAGAAGAGAATTTTAACGCGTGCGATCGTAAACTAGTATTTTGTTTATTAAAAAAAAAAAAGGAGAAACACTGAGTAAAAGAAAATGAGACGAAGAAAACTTTTTCATTCATAGATAGTGCCAATTTCTTGAATGAAATGAAATCGTACAGGAATTGTATATGAAGTAAGAAAAAAAAAAACGTACTGAGTAAAGCTGATCAAAATTTTTAAATCAGTTTTTTATTCGAATTCGTATATTTTTTTTATGAAAGATGAGAATTTGATGGTGGGTTTACGCATTTTTAAATACACAGAGTGAGCACCAAAAATTAAGCCTAAGAAAGGAAACAAAATAATCAGTCGTATTGCAGTCAGCATAACAATGCTATTGTAAAACTGGGAGAGGAAAAATCAAAGTTTTGATTTTCTTATTTTTTTTTTTTTTTTTTGTAATTTTGTATTTCAATGAAGATGTACGACAAAAATTGGGCAAGCCTTTTTTTCTTTTTCTCCAAGAAGACTGCGTGTTATTCTTCTCTCTTTTCTTGTGATTTTTTTTTTACATTTTTATATTTACTGGAACAGATTTGTCAAGGGACAATAGGTGTGGTAAGATTGGTTTGAATTTAATAAGATTCGTAAATTTTTTTTCTTCTTTTCTTTCTGATTTTTATATTGCTTTTTGTCATTATTATTACAACATTTTCATAATTATCATTCAAGTTGCCAAGAGTGAGACAGAAAATCATATGCGCATTTCGAAATTCAAAAACAAAAAAAAACCATAATTCATGGTTTCAGGCACTGACTATCAAATGGATCAAAAACTGAGGGGACAAAAGCAGAATTAATAAAAATGCATGAAATTTATGAAAGATTCAAGAATAAATTTTTAAACGATGAAATTATGTTAAACCTTTTTTTTTTATGTAAATCCGAATAAAGACCAATATTTTATTCGAATGTAATTTTTGTTTTTTTTTAATAGTGTAAGCAATTGGACAAATCATTTCCGTTTAAATGAATTAAATCAAAAAATCTTATGGGAATTCCAAATCAACGGTAATAAAGATTTTAAGATTGTCCTTTTTTTTTTACTGTTGTTTTTACTCTACTTTTCATATGAAAATGATTTACTGGACATTATTAAAGAGGAAAAATGATTATGATTATTGAGATTGCGATAAATCGTGATTTGGGTGTAATTGATTTTAAATTTGATTTGATTTTGATTAATTTTAAAATTTGAATTCAATTTTTCATAGGAAGCATGTAATAAATTTGTGAATGGAATTGGAAGAGATTTGGATATTATAGACGTAAAATATATTAAGGATAGGCACTATGGCTT